CATCATCCCAGTAATCAGATGGAACCCTGGTGAGATGCCCAGACTGGCTTGGGGAGGGTGGAACCCTGCCTTCCCCTGGGGCTCGTACCAGAAGGAGAGGGTGTAGTCGCCCACGAAGGTCTCGCTCTCACGCACCAAGAAGGTGCCATCCTTGCCACCTGTCTCGGTGCAGTACTCGTGCAGCAGCTTCTCGGCGATCTGCCGTCCGTCGCGGCCACCTCCCAGCTTCCCGTGGAACCACTTCTCCATGAAGTGCAGCTCGTTGTTGTTGAACTCCTGCAAGTTCACCTCAAAATGGGACAGATGCCCTGGGGTAAGTGTCCCCCCTGCCCCATGGGCACATCCTGCTCCACACGCACCTCCTTCTGCTCCACCTCCTCCTCATCCTCGTTGAATTGGTAGCGGGATGTCTCCTCTGAGTAGTAGATCTTGTTGCTTGTCAGGACGAAATAATGGGGGCTCCAGGTCTGAGAGGGAAGAAGAGCATCACCAGGGTGGGCAGGATGGTGGCATGGAGGGTCGGGGCTTTGAGACCTCTGTTTCTGCCCCTGCCCCATCCCCTCATGGCATTGCAATGGTCTAGGAGAGCCCATGCCCCATGCCCAATCCAAACTCTGATGCTCATCCCCATCTGACAGATCCTCCTTGGCCTCCAGCCACCAGCAGCAGGGAGACACTTACGTGGTCGATGGGGTCTTCGAGGTAGAGGATGCCATTCTTGATGGAGTTGCTGATGTCATTCTCTGAGTAACTGGCAGTGGAGACCTCCTCGTACAGGTTCCCTTCGACCAATTTCTTGTGCTGGGGACAGCCCAGGCAAGGGAGCTCAGCAGTGGGTTTGGTGTCTCCATCACGCTGATCTCCCAGCCCTCAGGCCATGTTTGAGCTTCTACGGGTTCTCCTCCACCACCCCCTGCTCCCCTTGACAGTCTCTTGCCATAGGACATCTCTCCAATGTCCTACTGCATATGCATAGAGAGATACTGCTCTTGAGTCCCAAGTTTTGAGATAATCACCATCCCTCCCAGCCCAACATGTTCTTTGTCCCTCCTACAAAGAGAGGCTTTGGGGTGGTGCTCGCCCCACACCTTGATCAGGATCTTCTTCTTGAGCTGGGTGGGTGAGGGCAGTTCGTCGGCATTGATGTCCACCGGCTTGGTGAGCAGCATGTCCCCGAAGACCTTCTTGAAGTGGGAGGCCATGTTCCTCTGCTGGACGATGCTGCAGTGGTCTTCAATGGAGAGGATGATGGGGAACCTGGAGGAAGCAAGTGGGAATGGTGGCTTAGGATGAAGGCGAGGGAGAGGTTGGCTGCCTGGCCCAGAATTGGGGTGTCGTTGCAGAGCTGGGGCTCACTCGGAGGTGACGAATGCGTGCTCCTTGATGGTGTGCAGCACATCCAGGAACTTGATCTTGGAGGTGAGCGTGTGGCCATGGTAGATGATAGGGAGATCGTCTGGGCCATCCCAGCAGTCCACTGAGTGGAGAGACACCTCGGTTAGCACATGCTCATCACTGACTGCACATTGTTTTCGAGCCCCCGGAGGACATGGAAGATCCCCTCCACCCCAGTGCCATGGGATGGGTACATGGGATGGTCATCTGATGCAACACAGGGTGCTGGGACGGGGCTCAGCATCTCTGCGTGGTGCTGGGGGGACTCACGCTCAATGCAGCGGCAGCCCATGCGCAGGCACCGGGCGTACGCCTCCAGGGAGGACTCGCTGGAGAACTGGTCCCCCGTCAGGTACCTGTCGAGAACAAGAAGGACCATCAGTGGCCAGAGCTGCCCCAGCCGAGGTGATGGGATTGCTCACGGCG